TTTGTTCAAGCTTCAACATCATTTGTTTCATGGATGTGCACTCTAACAGTTCCTGATTATCTGTAGTATTCACGGTTTCCATAATTAAAGACATTCCAAACCCATCACGCTCTCTGTACTTTTCAAGAGTGGCCCCTGCTGCAGGAGGGTCTTCAGTGAGCACGGAAACAGCTCCATGAGCCTGAAGGGCATTACTTACTGATCTCTTCCACCAAGAGAAATTACTTGAGTCTAAGGTGGGGATATTGAAAAAACCAAGATTCTTAGTTGCAGACATAATCATTTCTCCTTTTAATACATTACCGAAACCTGAGAGTGGTGAGGACAACGGGATATCTTCTGTGAGCGTGGGATAAGCCTGTAGAAGATGCTTCCGTTCAGCAGTGCTGGCTTTTCAGAAGGAACAGCAGGCTTGGTCTTCAGGTCTCACCCCCTTTTCTTCTTTCTTTCGCTCGGCACGGGAAGAAGACAAACTCAGATCAAACACTACAGGCTTCTCCAACTTGGAAACACAGGCAGCTAGTCTGGTCCCACAAGTTCATGAAGAAAACAGGATGTTGTCTGAATGTCATAAATACAATGCGCGTTAAAATAAAATTCTGTGTTATAAAACTCCAGCACACATGATTTTTCTTGACTCCAAGTCTGGCTGCTCACTCTGCTTAGCTATCTGGTGCAGTGGAATCGATCTGGGCCCATAACCTTTGTTGGGTGATAGTGAGATATTGAAAAAATGGTATTTAGCAGAGATAAGATAGTCCAGCAGTCCCGGAATAACATAATTCAGACTCAGAGTCCATGTGTGATTAAAATATAAAGTTTTTACTAAATTCTAGCATGGGAAGGGTAACTGGGATGAAAATAACAACAGAGCAAAATCTGCTACATTCTTACTCTACAAAGACAAAACCAGAAGAGAGAGATTATGGCTACTCTTCTTCTTCTTCTTCTTCTTCAGAACACCAAACAAAGGCGGGAAGAGAGCCATAAAATGCTAATACACCTTGACACTTTAGTCCCAATCAAATTCCTAGATCAGGGAGAAGATTCCCGGGTATTCTACAGCTAAAGAACATTGGTTACATGAAAAACATGTGACTTCCTGTGAGTAACATAAACAAACATTTAACCCCAGATATACTGAGTGTTTTCAACTTGTAATACCCAACAAGTTCCCACCCACTTTCCAACTGGATTTTGACAGTTCACACAGTAAAATCCAGTTGGAAAGTGCATTGAAAGTGAATTATTTAGTATGTGTGATCACAGCCTATATTTTAACAGCCCCAAACTCCCCATATTGACAAGATGCTGAAGCTTGAAGAACGGAGATTGAAGTTGTTATCTCTCTGGCCATCCCATACTTAATTAAGCAAAAGTGACTTTCGCCTTCCGATTTGACTGGGTCCTTTCTTCATATTTTAATTTTTAATTTTAGTGAACCCAATGAGGGCTTCTCAGCCATTTGCAGGTACTATTTTACAATGCCACATCTTTTGAGTTACTGACCTTGGTGATCCAGCGCTGGTTCATTCTCCAGTCCGTCCCTTAAGTGCTGGTTATTTAACGTTCCGACGTGTGTTTTCCTCTCAAGAGCAGAGAAGGGAGAGTGTGCAGTGCAGCCGCTTGAAGCCAAGGGGAGGCCATTTCGGTTTGTTCCGCCTTAGGGAATGTGAAGCGTTTAAGGAGGAGGGCACAAAGAGCATTGTCTTTTGAATGGGCCCATTACTTATGGCCCCGCATATATAGGATATTGTCTGGCCCGCTAATGAGGGGCTCACGAGCGTTCGATTGGCCTTTGTCTCGGCAACGCCGCGCGCTGACATACGCTACCTATTCTGCAGACGTCAACAGATGGGCCGCCGGACACGGGAGTTCAGGCAACAGCTGCTCGCGTTTGCCTCCTCCTGGAGTCCGGGGACAGGCCGGCTCAGGGGTTAGGGCTTCGGCGCCTTCTACTACTCTTCCATTGCTTAGCAGGCAGGAGTGGCTTAAGACATAGAAATACAGTTCACTTCCTTAATTCGCAAAACTGCTACTTCTGTTCTTCAGCCCCAATCTCATCGCTTGTTCACATGCATAAAAGTGGAGTGGGGGGGGGGATCCATTTCTCGATCTGCAGGGAGCTTATTAAGATCATTTTTACTTTGCCATCAACTTGGCTTCCACCCAGAATACACAAAAGTCATTCTAATTCTGAAATTTTTTTCGGACACAGTCGCTCTAGGAGACAACAAAAGAATATCGTGACACCTAGCAAATCTAGACTCAGGTGGGCTGCCCTGTTGGCCTGAACCAACAGAACATCGTTTGAGTCCAGTGGCACTTTTAAGAGCAACAAAGTTTAATTCTGGGTATAAGCTTTTGTGTGCATGCACACTTCTTCAGACAGGCAAATATATTTCGGTAAAAGCGTGCCTTCGCCACAGCCCACTCTGTCAAATTCGAGAAAGCAGTCTCCAGCCACTAGGTTTGCTAAGGTGCGACAAAACTCTTTGATGCAACGAGCTCGCAGCGCAATCTTATGCAGAGTTACGCCAGTCTAAACCCATTGAAACAAATAGAAAAGGGGTAACTGTGCATAGGATTGCATTGCCGCTCCGCACTTCCACTGATTAAAGAAATCGGTACAAGAACCGGCCTTGAAATGGGGGGAGGGGGGAAGAATTAGTTTGTTAACACCCTAACCCCAACTGCGAACAGCAGCAATAACAACAAAGGCTGAAACACAGAGATCCGGTTTAAGTGATCTCGAGTATTGTTTTCAAAACAAAAATGCGAAGTTCCTCGACTGCAAACCACTTCCTGGTCAAACTTTTAACTGTGATTGAAAACAACCTCAGTGTTCCTCGTTGGTCTGGTGCTGAACATACGTGGAGACCAGTACGGAACCCTCAAAACATCCGCTGGGGGAAACTTCGCCGCGACAGGGGCAAAGCCCTTTGTTGTTTTCTTATGTCGCGTTTTTAAAGTCCTTTCCCGGTCGTTCTTCCTTTCTGGCCTTCTGTCACGATGGCTCCTGTTTGACAAATGAGGAAGCGAGGGGTAGGGAGAGGCTTCTGGGACTAGGAGCGCATGTTTTGTCGACGATCACCTCGGCCTTAGCGTGCTGTGACACCGGAAAGCAGAGCCGAGGTTCGGACCCCGAAGAACGATTTCCTTGTAAATCATACATGTTCCTGAGAAACCTGTATGGACTGCGTCGGGCTCTAATTCAAGGCACAGATTCGGTGGGAGAGCCGCTATTTAGTCTTATTGTTTACTTCACGGGATCGATCAAACAAAATCAGGGGGGAGGGCTACTACTCCTCTTAGGAGACTGCATTGCATTGATACAGACCCTTAACCTAGACTGGTATTCAGTCCCCAACGGACCGATTACAAAGGTTCAGGTTGTTCTCATAACAAGCCTACAGGGTAGAGTTTGACAGGGACGGTGACTTGGCCAAAGAGGGAAGATGGTTTCATTTGTGCATAATTTCATCACGCAGTGGCTGCAACTAGGTCTGAATTTGGGACCTCCAAATCTCCTTCTATGCATCACATCATGGAGAATTTACAAGGGGTTACTGTGCCGGCTTGGCTATCTGATGGGCCTGATAGAAATGTTCACTCTTTGGCTGCGGGTCACACACACGAAATAATCCACTTTCAGTGCACTTTCCAACTGGGTTTTACTGTGTGAACTGGCAAAATCCAGTTGGAAAGTGGACTGGAAGTAGATTATTTAGTTTGTGTGACCACAGCCATTGATTGTGGGTTCTTATACTGCTGATTAAACAGTGTATGTGAGGAAGGGGGGCAGGAAGCTGATGTGTGTGAAGCGACCGGTGTGAGCCCTGGTCCTACCCTGTTTTGGAAGAATATTTATGTATTTTATAGCCCGCCCTCCCCACCAAAGCTGGCTCAAAATGGCTACAACATCAAACTTTATTAAGAGATCAAAGGGGAAAAGGGTACATGGATTTAAAATAACAAAGCATAATCAGACTAGCTAATTCCCCCTGAATTAAAGGCCATGACGGCTAAAGACCTTGCGTTCTCTAGAACAAAGAAACAGAACGTTCCCAAACTATCTAATTGACCAAAAGGCATGTAATAGCCAAATAAAACTGTTTAACCAATAGAGAAATTTAGACCCCTTTAATTAGAATGCCTCCTCCTACTTCTCTAGCGGGAAAATCTACACGGTGTCTAATAGGTCCCATGCTAATCTATTGCTAGCTTTAAACACAAACAACAGGTTAACTCTTTCATAGCACAAGTGTGGAATTCTTGCATATATTCCAACACCCTTAACTTCCTTATTTTGCCTAAGGGTGAGTTAAGTATTATCCACACTGGCATCTGTGAGCACAGAATTAAGAGATGCCAACTATCCTGCACACTACCATGTAAAAAAATGTTGCAAAATGCGAATTCATAATCTCTCTTGCAACGGTCACAGTAATGAGGGCCAGCGAATCCCACACCGTCGCCTCAACCTTAGCTAGATCTAAACCCAGCATCTCAGACTCGCACCTTCAGCTCCCCAAGTACAGACGAGAGGGCAGGTCTCGCGGGCCTTACTAAACGCCTGTTGCTTTGCGTGTCTTTTGCAGGCGAGGAGCGCTACATCTGCTGGTACTGCTGGCGGACCTTCAAGTACCCCAACACCCTGAAGGGCCACGTCCACTTCCACTGCGTGCTCAGCCACGGCCGCTGCTTCCTGGGGCCGGAGCCCGTCCGCGGGCCGGAGCTGTTCAGCGCGTCGCCGAAGCCCGCCTCGGCGCCGGCCACTTTCCGAGCCCACCACCACTGCCCCAGCGGGGCCCGGGACAGTATCAAACGGGAGTCGTCCGGCTCGCCGCCGCCGCCCCGTCGCAAGGCGGCCAAAGAGGAGCAGGAGCGTGCCCTGGACATGAGCGTGGCGGCCGGGCGGGGCCCGTTCCTGGGGTTGCTGGGCAGCGGCGCGGCGGGCAGCAACGGCCTGGCTTTCTACCCCGGGGTGAGGTCGGCCTTCAAGCCTGCCGGCCTGGCCAAAGGCGGCGCTGCCGAGGCGGCCTTCCGAGAGGAGGGCAAGGGCGGCTGCTTCGGCAAGCTGCTGGGCGGCCTCAAGCCCGGCCGCTCGGCCAGCGAAGCCCCGCCCGCTGCTGTCGCACTTCGAGGAGACGTCGGCCTTCAAGCACGTGGAGCGGAGCCTGCACGCCAGCCTCTCGCCCCCGGCCGGCCGCTACCCTCCGCTGCCAGGCGGGGTCGGCCTGCCCTTGGAGCGCTTCGCCGCCGCCCTGCCGCCGCCCTTCGACGGCCTCAAGCCCTACGCTGCCGCCGCCGCCTCGGGGGAGTGCCCCCTGCCGCCCTTCCTGCCCTTCACTCTCTATAACGGCGAGCTGCTCTACAGCGCCCCCTACTACCCGCTCAAGCTCCACTTCGGCAACCTCCTCAAGTACCCGGACTCCGTCTCGTATTTCAACGGCGCCGCGGCCGCCGCCGCCGCCGGCCTCAACCCGGCCGAGCTGGGCTCCCTGGCCAGCATCGACCGCGAGATCGCCATGCACACGCAGCAGCTGTCGGAGCTGGCGGCCGAGAAGAGCCGCGGCCGCCTGGAGAGCCTCCCGCCGGCGCCGTCGGGCCCGGCCAACGGGAAGCCCAAGACGGGCCACCTGTGCCTCTACTGCGGCAAGCTCTACTCGCGCAAGTACGGCCTCAAAATCCACATGCGGACGCACACCGGTTACAAGCCGCTCAAGTGCAAGGTCTGCCTGCGGCCCTTCGGCGACCCCAGCAACCTCAACAAGCACATCCGCCTCCACGCCGAGGGCAACACCCCCTACCGCTGCGAGTTCTGCGGCAAAGTGCTGGTCCGGCGCCGGGACCTCGAGCGGCACGTCAAGTCCCGCCATCCCGGGCAGAGCCTGCCCAAGGGTGGCGGCGGCGGCGGCGGCGAGGACAGCCCGGACCCAGCCGCCGCCGCCGCGGCCTACCCGCCCCAGGAACCAAAGACTGACAATGGCAGCGGCAGCAGCAGCGGGGGTGGCAGGGCCAAAGAGCAACAATGAGGCCCGGGGAGTGGGGGGGCTGGGATGGGCGGGCGCTGCTGGGACTCCCTCCGTGAGAAGGCTTTCCACGCTGTTCACTCTCTCTTTCTCTCTCTCTGGGGCTCTGACACGATTGCAAACAGACGGGGCGGCCCGGGGAAGGTCCCGAACGCTTCAAAGGCTTTGTACACCACAGCGCTTAAAAGTGGGTGTCTATCAGGTGCCCCGGAAAGCAGAGAGACGCCCTTCGGGGTCCACTGGTATCCAGGGACTTAGGAAGGCGTCGCTCTGCTTGGCCTAGCCAGGATCCCACGCGCACTTGCCTAAGGGGAAGGAAGCCTCCCTTAAACACAATCGCGGGGGAGGGGGGGGGGACGGGCGCTACTTCTCCATAAAGATTCTTTGGATTGCTTGGTAAGGCCCTATCCAGGCACCCCGGGACACTGGTCCGATGCCAGCGTCCTAGGAGGCGGGTCTCTCTAAGGCGGAGTTCAAGCACAGCACTTCCCAGGCCCCTGACTTGACGGTCATTTTCAGTGGGGCTTCTTTGCGCAGGATGCTGGGGGTTGGCCTGGTTCTTTGGTCGATGACGTGTGGTTCCAAACACGCTATTTAGGCTGCAGTGTCAGGGAGGGATGCTTGCTTGGGACCCTGCCCCGATAAGAGAAGTGAGGGTTCTTTCCGAGTACAGCCCCAAATGCCGAGGGGCGGCGCGAACTGCCGGTTAAGGCTACTGCAGCCGTACTTGGAAGGAAACTTCATTCGCAATTAATCGGCTTCCTCCTACATCAACTTGTGGAGCATGGAGAGAAATCAGTGCAAATCACTCCAAGTCAAGGAGTTCGGGGAAACTGTGGTCGGTTCACGTGCTCCTGGGGGGCTTGACGGGGATGAGGGCTCGGATTCGGTTTCCCGCGCGCCAAGAGAAGCGTCGGGGACTTGAGCATTTCAGCAGCCGATCCGTTTTCTCTCTTTGCACCTTTCCACGGTGGCAACTGTGCCTTGCGGGTAGGTTGGGGGTGGATGGGAAGTATTTTGTTCTCCTCGCTGTTCCCAGCTCCGAGCTCTAGTTAAGAAAGATGAGACTCACTTTTGCAGGCAGATGGAGATCTCGAGTGGCATCTCCGCGTTTCCAGCACACTTCAGGACTTAATCAGGTCTAAACAACAAAAGCCTCCTGAACCGCAAAGCATCCCTGATCCTAAACACATTTACAGCTCCACGCATTTACTTGGAAGTCAGTCCCACGGAGTTTAACGGGTCTCCTTCCAATGAAGCAGGGTAAGGGTGGAAGTAATTAAAGTAAATGCAACTGACTTTCGAATCAGGCGGCAAGCCTTCCTCTCCATCCTGGTAGGGGAGAAAAGGCCGCTGAAGTCAGTGGGATTTATTTCCGAGTGAGCATGCAGAGGGTCCTGCAGCAGCGCCCTGGAAGGGACGGACTGGATGCTGCGACAGAAATCCCATTTGAAATTTATTTATAGCAGAACATAATTTTGAGGAGCACATGTAAAATAAACACTGAAGCATGAATCATACAAGCACGCTCTGTATCACTTTCACAAAGATCCTTTTTCTTTTGTTTCGTAGGCTACATATGTAGTGTATGCTTGTTTTATAATGAACGATGTACAGTGGATACAGTATTTTGATCTTGGCTGCAGTTTGTCGAGATTTGGGGTTTTTTTAAATAAAAAAAAATAAAATTATTGACAAACTGTTCTCTGCCTGGTTCACTTAAAGGCTTTTAGATAGCTTTTTCTTTGCGACAATGCCACTTGGAAGTCTCCAGTGCAAATACCACGACCGTAGTCCCGTTAGAGCGCACCGTTTGGTCGCTAAAGCAGCTGTCGGATTCACTGCTATGGAGGAGGACGTGCAGTTGGACTCGTCAGGATGTTCAATAATTGCTCTTGTAGCCTTCCTGAGTCCCAGGGACTTTGACTAACACCTGTCTACCTGAACTAGACAAGTTCCATAGATTAAGGGTCTGCCTCCAAAACATCCCTCCCTACAAATCCCTATGGGTGTCTGGTGGCAACTGTGAAACTACCCAAACTGGGAAACGTTCACAGAACTTGGTTTTCTGGGGATGGTGATGGTGGTGGGTAGGGGGAGCGAGGGACAGAATGGCTTTCCATCAGCCGTTAGACTGGCTGTTGGTGAGGACCCATCCTCATTCAGTTGGCTTGTAGACCAGCTACATTCATGTTCAGGTCATGTCCTTAGGTTACCATTGTGTACAATGGGCAATCTCATTCTTTCTCATTCTGACTCTGGCTCCAAGCGGCCTGCCGAAAAGTTCCCACGGCTCCAAAACCTCGAAATGAGTGGGAGGCTGGGCCGGGTCCGCCCGGTCTTCGCCGTTTATGGTCCAGATTAGTTTCGAAGCAGCCTATATTTAGCTTCCCCACCCACATCGAACAGAGGTCCATTTTGTTGTTGTTCAGTCGCACAGTCGAGTCCGACTCTTCGCGACCCCATGGACCAGATCCCGCCAGGCCCATTTAGCGAACCTCTAATACCAGCAACATTTATGCCCGTAGAGTGCATGGCGCAATCCTCAGTAGGACTACTCATAAGTAAGTCCAGCTTTGTTTAACCAAATTGACATCACGATACAGGGTTCTTGCTTTGAGCCCCTCCGCTGCACATGGAACCAAGGGCCAATCTTCCTTAAGCACCCCATCAAGAAAGGTCTTGTTTGTCCATTCCTTCGGACATTTATAGACCGCTTTTCTTCCCAGTGGGGTCCTGGAGTTCAACACAGTCCTCTCCTCTTCCACTTTATCCTCATAGCAACAGCCCCGTGAAGGTAGTCTAGGCTGACTCAAGATCAGCCAGAGAGCTTCCATGGCAGAGCAGGGACTGGAACGCAGGGTCTCCCAGTGCCACGCTGGCTCCTCTTAACCTCCTCATGCTGGCGATCCGAAGGATTGTTTCACCAGCCTAGAGGAAGAGGGTCAAGAAAGTAGGCGAAGGCAACGTACATTTACCCGGTAGTAAGATGACTCAGTGGGACGTGTGTGTGTAAAGATGCTGTCAAGTCGCAGCAGCCGATTTACGGCGACCCCATAGATTTTTCAGGGCAACAGGCGTTCAGAGGTGGTTTGCCGTTGCCTTCCTCTGCATAGCGACCCTGGAATTCTTTGGTGGTCTCCTGTCCAAATACTAGCCGGGGACTATCCAGTTTAGCTTCCGAGATCTGAAGAGATCAGGCTAGTCTGGGCCAGTGGGACAACCTTCCTAGTGAAACTCCGTAGGCCTGCAATTTGTAGATTTTGCGACTTCAAAGGAAAAACTCCAAGCAGTATCTGGAAATCTCAGACGACCATTCCTCTCTGGCCTGATTCTCATTGATTTCTGCAAGACAATTAAAAAAGAGCAAGAGTCCAGAAGACTCACAAAATACGAGGCAGGGTATGAGCTTTCGTGTGTCACTGCTCCCTTCTTCAGATAACCAATGAGTTCAAGGACCCCTGACAAGTACATTCCACAACCTAGGCCACGGTCACACGGACTAAATAATCCACTTTCAGAGCATTTTCCAACTGGATTTTACTGTGTGAACTGGCAACATCTAGTTGTAAAGAGCATTGAAAGTGGATTATTTAGTGGGTGTGATCACAGTAACACGGACTTCCAAGAAGTTTCCATAGATTTTCAGTGGAGATTAACTGCTCTTGCTGCTTTGTGTTGGATTAGTCTCCGACCCTGACCACACTCCCTTGGAATTGGAATCCGGTCCAACATCTCACTTTTGAGGATGTGGAAAAGACCCTCCCGTTTATTCCACCTGCCACAGTTCCCGAAACACACACCTTTGGAAATCACTCACCTAACATTTATGAGAAGACGTTTCGAAAGGAGTAGGCCAAGATTAGAACGGAGGGATGGTTAAATCCTAGTACTTCTCCTCAAGCGGGTTGGAGATCGAGTTTGGAGTCAGGGAAATGTTGAAACGACTTGGAAATCTAGGGGGATAAACTTGCCCTTTCTCTCCAGCCGACTCTTCAAACTACGTTTCATTACTGCCATTCCTGAAATCTCTGTGACTAGTTTAGCATCAGCAGGCTAAAACAGGATTTCACCTGCAGTGATCATAAGCAATGGACCAGGGTCCGAGTCTAAAGCTTCCAGTATGACGAGAAAGGACATTGATCGCTCCATCGAAACCTCAATCCATATTTAAATCGATGCGAGCTTTTATTTGGCAATAACTTAGCCGAGAGTAACTTTCCTGTTAAGGGGCAGTGCTATGAATCGCTATGCTACGCATACTGGCTGGCCAGTTAATGCCTTTGAAATGAATGGCGAGTGTGCAATTTACGACCGTGGAACAATGAATATAGGATTGTAAACGTACTTAGGATAAAGTCTAGAATGGGGTTATATTCCAAAATATTCCACTTGTTCGCTCCCCGCCACACGCAACGCACACAGCCGTTCTGATACTATATTCTATATTGCCTTCTAAAAGAACCTTTGCCCTCAACTCGTTAGTCGGGAAATAGTCAGCTTTTCACAAACTCGCTTTAAATAAATGTTGGGTTTCTAAAAGGCAAAAGCAATTACTATTTCTCATCTTGGTTACTTGCTTCAGGGTTTCCCTGTGGTGAGAAGTTTCTACTCATGGCTTTCGGCTGAGAATGGAAATCTCCATGCCAATTTGACAACGTGTAACTTCTCTTGTCCCCCCTCAAAATGATGTCTTTCTTTCTTTCTTTCGTCTCTCTCTCTCTCTCTCAAAGTGTGCATTGCCTGGATGTACATCTGAATTCTCTTGGCCATGTTATCATATTTGGCTCAAACAGAGCAAGAATAATTTTCGCGGTTTTTAAATGTCACGGATAAATAGCCTGCTTTAAGAATCCCCTTACTTGGAACGGTTTGGCAGAACCAGTGGTGGCATTAAAGCTACCAGCTATTCTAATTTTAGATCATTCTCCCTTTGGTGTTGGCTTGATTACAATGGAATCACCACTCAGTTGATCCACCTACCGCCTAGCCCACATGCTGCT